TTACGACATTATATATCTACATTACCGTGTTGCAAAAGTTCTGTCTCACCCACCTTCATTTGAGTTTGTACACTTTCAAATACAACCTCAGTGCAATTCGTCAACCATGTGACGGGGCTCTCGTGGCCTAGAGGTGAAGGTGTTCACCTGTCATTCAAAGGTCCCTGGTTCGAACCCGGATAGCGACAGAAAAATTTTCTTCTTTGAAATTGTCTCCTTCCATCTCCTTTCCTGCTCTGTAACAATGTTCTGTCGTCAGCTTTTGTGTCCACTTTTTGCCTCCACCCCCTAACCTCCATTGCATCCTCCGCTGGGCTTCTTTCTGCAGCGTTTCTACTGCTACTCCGTGGCTACTTCTTACTGCTGTCTTTCAGCCACTCCCCTGATTTTATGGTAGGTACGATCTACACTTAGCCTTCAAAGAGGTCAAGGTAGCCTTCTCGGATAAGGACCCAAAAAAATCACGGAGGTTCCGGGTGCAAGTTGAGCTCGTTAAAGATCCCTGGGTAGTCCAAAAATCGATAAGTGTAGGCTTCGGCCGCCACCCGGGCAAAATTCAAAATTTCCTACAAACTGAAAATGTTTAATGTGTCTCCCCTTTCGACGTAGATGTCGTCAGACATTTGCCAATTGTCTGTGATATTTTCCCTTCTGATCACGTTGGCAGATTAGAAAGGAGATGAGTTATTATTAACGCTACATAATATAAAACGTGATATAGATAAGCATATCGGAGGTAAAATGAGCTCGTTGCGCAGACATGCAGATTAAGGTCATCAGCCGACAAAAAGAAATATATTTTACCACCTATGAAGCTTAAAACAATGGGTGAAAGGGCATTTGAATACCAAGGCCCCAAGACCTGGAATGCTTTACCACTTTTGGAGAGATCAAATCTTTTGATTCATTCAAATGTCAGTAGTAGTTAGTGGAGGTTTTTACAGCGCTCGCAACTGCATAAGGCCATCTAAGTGCCAGCAGATTAGATGAGTTACAAGAGAGTAGCAAACATAAAAAAGAAGAAGGAGAGATAAGGACGATAGATGTTTGATAGGAAAGAAGGAGCAAACCACACCAGAGCACCCACCAACCACCCACTTCAAATGTCAGCTGAAGTCGTTTCTATTTATAAATGAATAAGATGAATATTAGAACGATTTTGTTTTAGTGACAAATCAACGTTGTATGGTATTGTTGTACATTGTATTGTATTGTAAAGCACTCGGAGCCTGTGTAATTTAATCGGGGCAGAGCGTTATAGAAATTTTATTTATTTATTACCTTACTTTATCGTCCTCTTGTACCTCTAGGGCGTTGAGGGGAGAAAGGGTGTCCTGTCTCTAGCAAGTTTGATGGCCTGGCTGGGTGGGATAATGTATGTTCTCTCTCAGGGTATCCTTCTCACCCTGGAT